CTTTCTGAATACAGACACCAACCCATCCCTGCACTTCACATCCCCTGCACAGCCTGGAACATAACATTTATTTCCATGATCTGCCATTTTCGCTGTTGTCCTCGCTTGTTTCTTCACATTACTGCAGAACTTCTGATGATTCGGCTGGTGGCTGGCATAGAACATGGGCGGGTTTATGCAAATGTTGGGGGCGTAACTATTAGTGATCCCGACTGTAACGTCACAGTCCGTGTTATGTTCTGATTCGCCTATTTTTCAGTGGTCTTTTGCATGCACGAGATTTATATAAAAAGGAGGAAACAATGTGTTTTGAGGCTCACGGTATGTCATTTCCATGTACAGAACTTTTATTATTCAACTATGCCAAGGTAAATACAGTTTTCCATTCTATGGCACCTTTAAATGTGTCAGGATGCAATTCATAATGCAATGCGAGTGCACAGTTTAGTTTAGGTTATGGCTTAATAATAAAACATGATTTAATGACACAGACATTGAAGGATGAAGGAAACACATTTGTGTCTGCGATTGCACACATACAGTACAGTATGTTTGTGGCCAACGGCTGTCAATGTCTGTGTTTCTAAGCATGGACGTCTGTGCAAATGAACTTTAATAGCCTGGGAGGAGAAATTGAGAAAAATCAATCACTGTCTATTCTCTGTAGTGGATATAAAGGCTTTTAACAACTCATATTGACCTGCGATTACAATAGTCGGTCATATATTAAAAGCAAGCTCAGTGAACTAACAGCAGAGGCCAGTGGCAGCTGTGATCTCATCTAGAGGACGTCTACGAAGACAAAACGCCTGGAATATTGTTGTAATATATATAAATGCTGCACCCTACAGTTGTAAGTAGTGTGGTTTTACAGGCACATTGGCTCTGAATATATTTCCCGGCTCCCCAACAGTGAGAAATCAGCGTATTCTTTATGACTTCTCAGAAAAGGCTGTATTCTCTCACACAGAGCTGAGCTATATGTCAAAGCCAGTTTTATTGCCAGGAGACCCACAGAACAAGCAGCTCTTGTTATTGTGCTCAAATAAATTTGACTCAAGTGCATATTTCAAGAGCCAAAATATTTTTTTAATTTCACGCAAACAAATGAGAAATCATTGAAACCCTGCAGCGCCGGTGAAAAATGTTTCATTACTGACTGTAAAGCAGCGCAGCTTTATATTCGCGGCTGATGAAGCAGAACATGAAAACAATCAGAGAATATATATTCGCTTTATCTGTGCTCGCTGAACTGAAACACATCTGAGGTCTCTCAATGCAGGACTGTTATCAGGAAAGCTGTGATTAGTAGCTCATTAACACGCGAGACAGATCTCTATCAGAATATAGCAGAATTTCACCGTCAGGCTGAATTACACAAAACTAGTCAAGAACTCGACAGGGTCGTATTTCACTCCACATTATATAAGCATAAAGCAAATCAAGCATAGTTTTATGGTTCTTGCGATGTATTTTTTCACTGTGACATTATTTTCATGACAATTAGGCACATTAGTTTTTACTGCAATACTGTAAAAATGTAATTTCTGCAATTTAGAAAAAATATTGATACATTAATTGCAAAACATTTATACATCTTGATGTTTCTATTGAATTTATACAGAAAAAAACTGACACTGATCATTTCCATGACTATATTATAGTGAGAATGAGAATGTGAAAAGAGGAACAATTGGAAAAAAAAAGTGCTTAACTGTCTTGACAATAATAAGAAATAATATGAAATTAAATTACATGAAAATTAAAAAATAATTCATTTAAGAGATAGATAAATTAATTCAATAAATTAAAATAGTTAAATAATAATAAATAAACAAACAAAATAAATAAATAAATAGTAACATTAAATACAATAAAATGATTAAATTAAATTAAATTAAATTTTCTTTGTGCATAGAGGAATATTTGTTTCAAAAGAGTTTTATATTAGGAGCTTTTTTCTTTTTTTATTCTTGTTTAATATATTTGACTGATTATTGCAGGAAATTACTGCAGAATTGGAGAAGTCCTTCACACCGAATAACAACTACCACAATGTTTTGACTGCCCATGAAAGTCACAAAAACCCCTGATGGTTTCATTCATATTTTTATTTGAAAGAATTCTCTTTCATGAGATGCATGAGAGCTTTTTATTATGTGTGTGAGTCACAGCGCTGAGTCACACTGCTTTAATTCCAGCGTAAAAGCCTGCATAATTCTCTCTGTATGTAAGTGTTTGTGTGTGTGTGTGTGTGTGTGTGTGTGTGTGTGTGATAGACAGCGTCGTACCTTCATCCTGAAGAAGGTGATGCTCGTCAGCAGGTCGACGGTTGATTTCAAGTCCTGGAGTCTCTCTGGATTCCCAGCAGGGAAATTATCCTGTAAACAGAATTAACATCAGATCATCTCTACATTTCTACGTCATTTTCAGAGCATATCTAACAAAGAAGATAAACAGATTAAGATTATAGATGCAGCTATGGATTTGATGAATATATATGTTTAAGAGACAGATGAAAAGATGGAAACCGCACATTAGCTCAGTAAGATGGAATAGTTAGGCAAAATATGTTGTTTGCACTTTCTAAATTACACAAAGATCCAAATTAAGATCTTTGTGGCTATAGATTGATTCCAGTTGATTCTAATATACAATGCAAAAATTGATGTGATCAATAAGTCTAAAAAATATAGAATCAATAAATCCTGACGTCTGTTTTTTTTTTTCCATTTCTTTAACACATCAAAATAATTTAACCGATTTCAATTTAATTTTTTGTAAGTTATACAAGATTCAACTAGACAAGATTTTTAAAAAGAATGAGCTGAAATGACTCGTACAGACAATTTGATTATACCTAAAAACTGAAAAGCACCAACTGAAGTTTTATAGTTGAATTAGGTGGATCTTTTTTACAGTTTAGAATCTGATGTTGATAAGCTGACAATGCAATATTCTAATAAGCATAAAAATAGCATATAGCAGACATAAATACTAGGTTAAAGAGTCAAAGGCAACATTTTACTTAAAGCCTTTATGTATAATGCATTATACGGCTATTCATAATGTATGTTGTAATTTCATAAATAATTGTAACCAAAGTTAAAATGCATTGTAATATTTGAAGGATTTTCTTTGTCATGTTTTAATGCATCATACTGTACTTTCTAAAGGTGTAACAAGGAATAGATAAGTATTATAACAATTATTCATGAGATTATAAAGTGCATTATAAGGTGCATTACATGGGAATATTAATGCATTAAAACAATTTTTACTTAAGTCTTTAAATATAGTGTTACTGAGTCAATTATTATATTTCTAATCAACACAATTGAGGAAGTCTTAAAGAATTGCTGTTTGGAACATTACAGATGGTGGGTGCTTCACCTGCTAATATTTCAAATGGCCTTTTACTCAAGTTGAGGAAGTTTGGCAGAGATAGATGGTTAAAAACATGTCAACATGAGTCATCTTCATTCACCCTGCAGCATTATGCAGCATGCACAATGCAGTAATAGTAATAACCAAAACGTGTTCCATCGTCATGAGCACCAATGACAAAATATATCATAATTTAGCAGCCCGAGGAAAACCAGCAGCAGACAGAGAAAATGTGTTGTTGGGCTGTAAAGCTATGAGCCTGCTTGTTCTAGCATGAAGGTGCACAGTATATTGCATGAGTGGAAGAGCATGCATGTGTGGACGCTGCAGATGTGTGCAAAAGATGCGCTCGGAGAAACAGGTTAGAAAATGTCACGCCGGGATGGTTATGTAACAGTTGCGACTTGGTTTTGTAAGAATGAGGAGAGACTCCTGTGCGCGCTTTTATCGATGCCAGAGCGTCGGACGCTGCTGTAATTCTTGGCTGGTGTTTCACCGCAGCTCTCTAATTATTCAGAGCAAGTAATGGAGTGCAGGAGCTGTTTGTCAACAACAGCCACCAAAAACAGACTCGCGCAAATCAATTTAGGCTGTTTTCAGACTCGCTTTGATTCCACATCCCTCCCTCTGCCACCGCAAGTCACTTCGCACAGTATTTTTTGGGTTTGTACCTCCCCGAGTCCTGGATTTTGGTCTTGTTTTTCTTTAAAAATATCTAAACATCCTCAAAACAAGATAAATTAAAACAACACTCTTGTTCTCAGATGATATATTTATATATATATATATTAAAGCAATATATCTACAGCCTGTTGGCAAATTGTTTTTTTCTAGTTTTAAGCAGAGAATCAAAAACATTTAGTGAGGTTTACTAGAAACAAGACAGAAATTCATTCATTTATTTACTTATTTGCTTACTTCTGTCTCTTTGGACCTGCAGGCAATGTATTAATAAATGTGAAACTGAAGACTGGAGTGATAACTGCTGGAAATTCAGCCTTGTATCACAGGAAAAAATAACATTTTAAAACACATTCAAGCCGAAAACGTAATAATATTTCACATTGTTACCATTTTTTTTACTGCATTTTTGATCAGTAATTTTGGAAGCAGTTTTTACTTTTAATTTAATAACTATTTTTACACCCTATTTGCCAATTGTTTTTCTCTAGTTTTAAGCACACATTTAGTGAGATTTACTGGAAAACTGGAATAATAATAACAATTATCTATCTATCTATCTATCTATCTATCTATCTATCTATCTATCTATCTATCTATCTATCTCTCTATCTATCTATCTGGCTATTCATCTATCTATTCATCTCTCCATCTATCCATCCATATATCCATCCGTCCATCATCCATATATCTATTCATTTATCTATCTATCTATCCGTATATTTATCCATCTTTTCATCTATCTATCCATCTATTTATCAACACTATATCTGTCCATCTGTCCATCCATATACAGTAGCTATCCATCCATTTATCCACCCATATACTGTATATGTCCATCTATTCATCTATATGTTTTTCTTTTTGTTTTTTTGGAGTACATTTGTCTCTTTGGATTCACTCCCAAAACACAGCTATTGCATTTGTCTTGCATTGCAAAAGATGCAACAAATGCCAGCTTCAACCAGCAGGCAGTTTATTCAGATACAAGCAGCTTTGAGAAATGCATCATGTTATAAATATGATTGGGAGAATGTAAAGATGCAAATTCTATGCCACCAACACAGCTTTACTTCTGCACATAAGGACAGATCATTTTCATACTAACTGCAAACCGCATGAGTTTACATGAAAACACACTCTGGTCTGCTTCAAACGCTCTAGTGTGAAATGAAGTGTGCCAGTAAAGACTTCATATAACATCACTAAAATAACACTTTGCTTCACTCTGAAAGTCTCTGTGGCTGTTTGAGGTGACGAATAAGTGTGCAGAAGCTCTTGAGTGATGTGAAATGTCAGAAAAGCAGAGAGATATGAACATATGTTTGGGCTTCAGGCAGGTCGGTGTGTCGGTAACAGATTGCTCAGGTAAGAGATCATTAAACTGTGAGTGTCAGCAGTGGGTCTGAATCACAGGAGAGGGTTTTGATGAGGAACCATCAGAACGTCTGAAGATCTGTGCAGGGCTTTGAATTTATAACATTTGCAGCTGTGTTGTCTACCAGGGTTATTAGTTAACTAATACTGAAACTAAAAATAAAACCATAAAAAAACATTTTGTTGCGTAAAATAAAATAAATGTTAACTAATAAAATAATATGCATTATTTTAGCTAGTCTCCAAGGCAACATCTCATTTTAATTAAAATTTTTTTTTTACTTTTTTGAAATAAAATAACTAAAACTAACTCTGAAATAAAAAATATAAAACAATATACATAAAATACATATATATATATAAACTGTTAAAAATGACAAAACGCACAAAACATTAAAACTATAATTAAAATAATTTAAAAAAAATGTATTATTATTTTTATTTACTTACAAGTATTATAACATGTGAATATCATATTTATTCAACCACATTCAGGATCATTTTAGCTTTCTATTCGTCTGTGAATCATGAAAAATAAAATGTATCAAGGTTTTCTACAAAAATATTGTGCAGCACAAGTGTTTTCAACATTGATAATAATCAGAAATGTTTCTTGAGCAAATCAGCATATTATTAGAATAATTTCTGAAGATCATGTGACACTGAACACTGGAGTAATGATGCTGAAAATTCAGCTTTGATCACAGAAATAAATTACATTTTTAACATGTATTCAAATAGAAAACAGTTATGGTATAATATTTCACAATAATACTGTTTACTGTATATTTGATCAAATTAATGCAGCTTTGATAAGCAGAAGAGACTCCAAACAACTTTGTGTGTGTATAAATGTATATATTAATTTTGTATGATCTTTTTAATGACCTTTGCAATGTACTGTTTTGAACCAATGTAATGAACATAGTCAGGTAGGTTACCATGAGATATGATCCAAATCAGAGCACCTTTTAGGTGTTTTTAAGCTTCAATGTGAGTTACTGTTACCATTACCTTTCTCCACAAAAGCTGGCATGGCAGTTCTACTTCTGACACTGGAAATGTTCCTGTGCATATTGGACACTGGTCTTCAAGTGCCTACACATTAAAGACAAAAATGTATGCAGGGCAAATTTTGTAAAATAGGAATTGACAATAATTGACAATGTTCAATTTGGCTTTTGCTTGTGTACCTCCTGAGGGTGATTGCAACATTGGATGATGTTGAATGAGGTCTAAGATTTTTGGATCTTGAAGATGTTGCCTCCGCCATCAACACCAAATCTTCTTCCTGCAAACAGAAAAGAAAAATGTGATGTTCTACTGATAGAATTCTTGGCTGTTTGGAGTAGTCACAAATAAAAACACCCCTTAGAAGTCAGGGGCATATTGAAATGTGGAAGTTAGTTAATTAAAAGGTCTTCAAAGCAAAGTCTCTGCAAGGTATTATAACATGTGAATATCATATTTATTCAACCACATTCAGGATCATTTTAGCTTTCTATTCGTCTGTGAATCATGAAAAATAAAATGTATCAAGGTTTTCTACAAAAATATTGTGCAGCACAAGTGTTTTCAACATTGATAATAATCAGAAATGTTTATTGAGCAGCAAATCAGCATATTAGAATAATTTCTGAAGATCATGTGACACTGAACACTGGAGTAATGATGCTGAAAATTCAGCTGCGCATCACAGAAATAAATTACACTTTAACATATATTCACATAGAAAACAGCTATTTTAAATTGTAATAATATTTCACATTTTTACTGTTTTTACTGTATTTTTGAGCAAATACATGCAGCTTTGGTGAGCATAAGCATTACAAATCTTAAAGACCTCAAACTTTTGGACGATAGTTATGATATTTGTAAATAAACTTGTTTGATTTCAGACAGACGGTTAAAATAAACTGTTGCACTTCAAGTCTAGATAGATCTGTTTTTCGGCTATGATAGAGTTGTTGTTTTGAAAGCATGTGGAACGGGGCCAGATTGAGCAGAAACGTCTAGTGTTTGAGTTCGGTGGCGTCTGGAGAAACGTATAATCCTGTACGAGTGGCGAGGAGAGAAGTCTGCCTGAGGTTTATTGAACACAGATGATGTAGACAGCACAGGAGGAAATTCATCTAATAAAGCAGAGGCGTTAAAGCACTCTGGAAGAACAAAACCTGCCTCGGCCAAATCCACACGAGCTGTGAGAGAAACCAAACTCAGTTTGCTTCAGAATTTCATTACAGTCAAATACACAGAGCCCTGCAGATCCAGAGTGTATTACAATCAGGACGTGTTGCCTGGAAGCTTGCGGCTGGATAGGAGCAGGTAACAGCCAATGAATTCCCTGGATGCCTGCCAGTCGAGTGTGTGTGTGTGTGTGTATGTGTGTGTGAGCACCCTGTCAATGCTTTCTAGCTCTCACACTGAGATACCGTCGGACCACTCGTCTTCTCGAGAGTCATACGCGATCTGACTGTGAAAGCGTCCTCTCAGAAGAAACTTGCATCTGACTGAGACGTTTCTCTCGTTATGTATTTAGAGAGACTTCACAATTAGTATAAAAGCAAGAAGGGCAGCGGGAGTCGAGAACAATCTTTGCAACTTTCTCAAATTGTTGCTTTGCATGTGAACAAATGGACCTTCTGTTCTGTGAAGAGCTCGTAAAGCATTTGAATGTCATTGTAAATTAAGGTAGGGGATCACTAAAAGCGATGGAGAGGTTAAATTATCTCCATGGCGATGAATAATAGATGAGTGTTTTTCTTTCTGATGTCTCTGAAATAGAAAATACATCTGGATCGTGCGGGTGCTGCGGCGTTTGGCTGCTTTACTCACCCGATACTTGGAGAGGTCGATGCGCAGAGAGTTGTGAAGCTGATCCAAGAGTTTGACGAACTTTTCTCTCTGCGGAAGAAACAAAGTCACAGAAACAGATCAGTGCTGGATCGTGTCATCCATCTATTTATTGAAGCATTCATGAAATCATCTGCACATCATCCATTGATTCACTCATGCAATCATGCTTCTGTAGGTCTGTTCGTTCATCCATTCATCAGCTTGTTGTTCAATGCTTTCATCAATTTAACAATCAATGCATCTTATCATTCATGCAATCAGCCATCCATACATCCATCCATCATTCAATAATTAATCCATTCATTCAAAAAAATCTGCTTTGCATTCATGAAATAATCCATCTGTCCATCCAACTATTTCTATCTATCTATCTATCTATCTATCTATCTATCTATCTATCTATCTATCTATCTATCTCTATCTATCTATCTATCTATCTATCTATCTATCTATCTATCAATCTATCCATCCATCCATCCATCCATCCATCCATCCATCCATCCATCCATCCATCCATCCATCCATCCATCCATCCATCCATCCATCCATCCATCCATCCATCCATCCATCCATCCATCCATCCATCCATCCATCCATCCATCCATCCATCCATCCATCCATCCATCCATCCATCCATCCATCCATCCATCCATCCATCCATCCATCCATCCATCCATCCATCTATCTATCAGCAGTGAGAGTGACAAACCCGAAAGTTGGATGCTGCGAATCGGTCGGAGGCGGAGATGTTGGTGTTTGCCGTTGTTGTGTGAGCGAAGTAGGCGTTGATGTTGGCAAGCAGGTTACTCATCACCGCAGGAACGCCGGGACACATGTACTTGGATGAGAGACATGAGAAATGCCTGAAAGAGAGAAAGACAGATGTCAGATTCAGTCATATACACACTTGTGAGCAGCCGAACACCCATAATAATGTATATTTCATATCAGATTCCTGTGAATTTTCTTCCCTTGAGCAACAACATTAAAACAACAACAAAAAGCGAATACAAACTGAATTCATTTCCTAAATGCCCCACAGATGATTCTGTACTGCACGGAAATATTATTACTGGAAATACTGATAAGGAACATGGCTTTCTGCAAAGCACAAACTAAAAACATTTTTGAACGTCTGACTAAGGCATTGTAGCATCTTTATCATATGGAAAAACTAACTATGGATGTGTCACAAATGTAAACTATTAATATGAGATACTGTATGCACATATGAAATGAGCTTAATGATCCATCTTATATCGTCAAAATGAACAGACAGCGCAACACAGATCTGTCATGTGTCGAGCCGCAGGGCAGAGCAGGAAATTGCAGACTGTTAGAGGAGATTCATTAAAGAAAGATTTAAGAGAGAAAAAGAGATAGGAGAAGAAAGAAGAGAGACATAGATTAAAAATAACGGCAGGCCTGCAGGGCTTACACACACACACACACACACACACAGTGAAACGCAGCATACAGTATCACATGTGTACTACACACACACACACACACACAGTGAAACACAACATATCACATTTGTACTGCACACACACACACACACACACACTGAAACGCAGCATACAGTATAACATGTGTACTGCACACACACACACACACACACACTGAAACGCAGCATACAGTATAACATGTGTACTGCACACACACACACACACACACACTGAAACGCAGCATACAGTAT